ACAATTTCACAAAAGACATCTTCAACAGATAATAAATATACTCACGATACCAATTAGATTTTACGCTACTTACTGTGAAATGTTTCTAAATTGGATAGACATTATCAGGCTTACACAGGACTTCACTCTTTGACGTGTGAATGACAAGCAAACACTTCTACATAATCCAAAAGTTTCCTAACTTATTTCCAATATAAGCACCTTCATTACCTTGTAACTCCAACACATGACAAAGCAAATAATAAACGGCAAAATTACTTACTTTTTAGAATTTTAACACACTTTGCTGATTGTCTGCCACCCCGAGTTGCAGCGCGAAAATTACAAGTCCAAAACGTAAACAAACACTGTGAGCAACTGTTGCACATGGCACAAAACATTTCAAAGTGTTTCAATCTTTATATTTGCGAGTTTACAGTATTCAAAATTACATTTCCTTCCTTCTTATCATAAAAACTATTTGATAAATTAAATATATTGTCTGTTTTAAAATCTTAAAATATTTGCCATTTTTCGATACTATCGCTATTTGTGACATGGTATTTTAGCTCTAAAAGTGGCCTGAGAGGTAACCCTGGACCCCGAAACTTTTGCCCGCCAAGCTTCCCCCTCCACTTTCTGAAAACCCCGAAGTGGACAGGCCCTGCCGCGACCCGACCCGCACCCGCAACTCCCCTAGGCACTCCCATCCCAGCCACTCCACCACTCCGCCCGCACTCCGCGCGGTTGCGCGAGTGAGGTGAGGTGAGGAGCGAGTTGCGAGCCGAGCGCTCCACGGACTGGTTGAGGTAGAGAAGTGCTGAGCGCGCACCGCGCGCCCCGCCCCGCCTCGTTGTGCGCTTTGTGCGCGCCGGGCGAGTTGTGGTGGAAGGTTACGCCCAACGACGGGTTACGTTTCGCACGGATTCGCCATGAGTGTCATCAAACATCGCGACTACATTCTAGAGGCCATCGACCAGCTACGCCGGCGCAAGGCGAGACCTGACAGGGAGCGTATTTGCAGTTACGTCGGGCGCAAGGTTGGTGTGGACAACCGCTCCCTCATCGCCGATCTGGAGAGACTGGTTGACGAGCAGGTCGTCATCAAAGTTGAGTACAAGGGAAACATTAGCTACCGCAACGCGGCCAAGTGGTCCAAGCTGTCAGTGCACAAGAGCCGCATCGAGGTGGAGCTCAGCGACCTGAACAAGCTCGAGTCCATGCAGGACGAGAACGAACGCATGAGCTACGTGCTGCGCTGCGCGATCACCGAGCTCGTGTGCCGCGATCCGAACTACCTCGTACACGGCGTGCCAGTGTTCGAGCTTGAGCAGCATCTCAAGACCAAGGACAGTGAGTTCTTCGCCCGCATCTCCTTCAACGTGCTCCTGAGCCGCGAGGCCAAGGCCGGCACAGTTGTCAAGCTTGAGAACGGCAACTACTTGCTCGGGCCGCGCGGCGCTCGGGCCTCGGGTTCGTGGTCAGGCTCGGGGTCCGGTATCTCGGCCAGCGAAGCGGAGATGTCTAACGACGACCTCGACGACTCGGCCCTGTTCGACGACATGGTCGCCGATGGCGATGACTCCCCCGTCAAGTCGCCGCCGCGAGCCGCGCAGCCGCTGCCACCGCTGCCGCCGCTCGTGCCGGCGCCGGCGCTTCTCAGGCAGATGCAGCAAAGTGAAGAGGACGGCGACGTCGTCATGAACGGCGGCGATGCGACGCCCCCGACACCGAAGTCGCAGTCCCCAGACCCGGAGCAGGACATCGAGATGGTGGAGGAGGACGTGGATCAGGCCCCAGAGCGTGAACTGGAGCCTGAGCCCGACCCTGAACCTCAGCCTGACCCCGCACCAGAACCTGACCCTGAGCCGGACCCGGCTATGAACCACAAGGAACAGGAGGAAAGCACTGGGTACCGACTCGGCGAACGACGGAAGGTGAGAATCTCTTATATTTAGGGATTTCATGTCGCGTTCCTGTGAGTTTCCCGTTCAAATTAGGGGTTGCTATTGGCGGCTGAGTGAGGTTAGGTTTCAATCGGTTTCCCCCAGCTGTCATGTGCTGATGTAATGTTACACCTGAACAGGCCTTTTCACCGTCACGGACAGATGGGTGACACCCTTCTGTGTTTTATCTTTGGGCCTGCTGACGATTGACGACATCCATTGCCGGTGTCAGTTCTAACTTGAAAGCAGACTTCTGAGCTTTGTCCCCCTTCCCTGGGCCGCCACTGGCGCGGTTGTTGTCGGGCTTCCAGCTCTTTGTTGTTGGAACTAGATATTCAGCTCGTTTTACCTTTTGGCTCTGCCAAAAGAGCAATTGTTATTACCAAGATTAGTTAGTAATGTTTGTTTCTTTGTTGTTGTCTTCCCCCTTTTCCCCCCTCCAGGTTTTATTTGTATTAAGCAAGTTTAAGCACATATATGGTACCTAACACATTGATCAAATTAGTCCAACAGTTTTTCAAATTTTCTGGGGCAAAGTGGTTTTGTTCAACCTAACCTATTTCATATTTGGTTTCCCTGATTATTAATTACTCCATAATTATTTTCAGAGAGCCAAAAAGAAGGTGTTTGACCCATCTGACAACAATTTGCCCAAGGCAAAACGAAGAGGGCGTCAACCTCCTGTACTTGAAAAAGTTGTGAAGACCCCAACAGTGACACAGCCACAGCCAGCCTCTGTACACTCATCACCATCCAATTCAACTAATAGTCAAACTGTTAACCGTGCGACCAGTGGACCATCTGTCAATCGAGCATCAAATGCATCTAACGCTCAGCGTACACCAAATGGCTCATCTCATCGCTCTTCAAATGGATCCACAGCTCATGATAGCAACACCAAAGATGTCAAGCCACCATTACCATCTGGGAATAAACTAAATGCTATTGGGACAGGATCTGTAGCTGTGTGTGCTATTTGTATCAGTGCCATTGTGGATGGCAAAGCTATTCAGTGCAAAGATTGCACTCAGAAAGGTGTGTACTTTACTCCAATACCTATATAAATCAAATAATACAAAGTACCATTCGTAATAATATATTTTTCTCTGTTTTTCTGCAGCCCACTTTTCATGTCTCATTCGAGGAAATAGAGCAAGGTTTCGTCCAAACACTTGGCAATGCATGATGTGCAAAACTTGCCAAATTTGTGCCATGACAGAGGATGTTGTAAGTACTGTAGTAACATAACTTAAATTTTAGTCTTGGCTTTCCTGACAACTTAAGTTCCTTATTAACCTTGTCTGAAAATTTTAAGGGCACCATTGTTGTTTGTTCAAATTGTGATGAAGGCTATCATGTTAAATGCCATACTCCAAAACCAAAAATTCCATGGAAAAAGTGGGTTTGTTGCCGATGTTCTCCTGAGCCAAAACAGACCACTCCAGGTAATACGAAATGAACCACATTTCTTGAATAAACTGTTGTTTTTTCCTTATTTAATCACATTA